TGGGAAGGTGGGAGGGTCGCCGTGGCCCTAAAGACAGTGGGAAGGTGAGAGGGTCGCCGTGGCCAGCTTGGCCTGGAGGGGATGCTGACCCGGCCGGCTTCCTCCTGCAGCTCTGACCTGGTCATCCCCTTCCTGGAGCGAGGCCAGCTCCCGGAGGCGCTCCAGCTGCTGGAGGCGGTTGTTCGAGGCGAGGACCAGCCTGTGCACCTCCTCATCCACGCGGTCGTACAGCCCTCTGGCGGCCTCCAGGGCGTCCCTGAGGAAATGAAAGCAGTCCTCCGGCTCCCAGGTGACCCCCTGAGGAGTCTGCTTGTGGTGACAACCCCGTGTAAAACCCTGCTCTTTCCAACCCTGATGCAGAAGGCACTGGGAGCCCCAGGAGGAGGCCCACCGCCGAGGCGGCCGCCCACATCCCTGCCGGCCTGGGGTGCAGGTGCCTGGAGGGGACCCTGCTGGGCAGACTCTGTGGACTGGCTGCATGCGGCTGAGATGGGCAGGGACTGTGGGGGCTGGGCGGCACAGTGCCCCGGGCAGCGTGATTGCGAATGAGCTCATTCTGATGCTCTCTGGCTGCCTCCTGCCCAGGTCCCCAGGAGCCAGCTCCTTGATCTTTGGAGCCTGTATGTGTGGAAAAGCTCTGGCCCAGGCAAAGCGTGGCTGTCAGGATGGAGGTCTGCACCAGGCACAGAGAGGGCTCTCCTTGGAGCAGAGCGCTTCACCTCCTGGCTACAAACTTCATTGAGCAGCCCCCTCGACGGGCCAGGGCCCAGTGTTGCCCCGTCGGCGCTCACCGGCTGTCTTCTGTGCCAAGCTCTTCTCTCCTCAGCCGTGCCAGGATGGTGCCCCCCTCCAGCCTGAGAGACACCAGCAGCGGGTCTTCCAGGACGAGCTTCATCATCGTCTCGTGCTGGTCAGTTAACTCGGCGACTTCCTGCACAGGGTGGGGAGGGACACGCCTTTAACCTTCTCCTCCACGGCCAGGTCCCCCCAAATGCAGCAGCGGCAGGAATGCGCAGCGTGGCCCATGTTCCTGTTCTGTAAATCAAGCTGCAGGCCTGGCGGTGCAACCGGGCCCCCCGAAGCTGATGGTCCAGACGCTCTCACCAGGGAGGGTAAGTCCCAGGGAAAGACCTCTTGCAGGGAGAAGAAGGGGGCTCAGAGGTCAGCCGCAGGAGGTGAGCCTGCTGTGTAGACCAGGGACATGCAGGCCTCACCCGCAGACCCTGCGCCCCTCGGCCTGGCGGCTGCAGAGAGCCCATGGCCAGCCTGCCTCTGCGTCTCATTGGAATCACTCATTCCCAGCAGCCGCTGCTGCCCGTACGCCTTGCGTATCGTCAAATGCAGTGACACTGCTTTCCTTCTGGGTAGGGTGGGATGTTTTTGGTGACAAAGGAGAGGAAATGGCCTTTTGTGAATTGAGAGGGATCTACAAATGAAAAATGATTTGAAAGTCTCCGCTATAGATGACGGTGAACCAAGGTTTATTTTCAAGTTTGGCTAAACCTTTGTGCCCCACCTACCTGTCACATGAAGAGAACTTACCTGCAAGTCTGTGGACTTACCTGGGCTGTTCTTGGGATTCTGTGGGTGTTCAGGGAGCAGAAGGAATTCTGCAGGAACACGATGGCCGCTTCGCAGTTCGCGGTGAAGTGTTCCAGCCTCTGCCGTGAGTTGAGAGGGAGGAGATGATAAGGACACAGTCTGTTAGATGCCCAAGTAAGCAGCCGTGAGTTCCTGTGTTTAAACCGACCTGGGTCAGGTCGCTTCCACGAGTGCAGATGCCCGAAATCTGCAGTGCCCCCCAACCCGGGTTGGGCGTTCTCGGACACACCACGCGTGGCTGTGCCGACGTGGACACCCGGACGGCAACTGAAACATGCGTGAGAAAGTCCCCGGGGGCTGTGGCACCTGCAGCAGCTGCGTCTGAACCTACCTGACGGAAGCAGACCCAGTCACCGTGGCTGTAGGGAAAGGAGCCGTCGAGGTCTGCGGTCAGCTGGGAGCTGCTGACAAACCTGTGCAGGGCCTTCAGGGAGCTCACGACCTCACACTGCCAAGAAGAGGCACCGTTAGTCACGGCTCCAGATGCATCTCTTGGGGAGAAGACACTGTAAATGGCTCAATCCCGGGTTCGGAGGACGGAGGGGCTGGCTCAGGGCGTGCGGCCTCTGCTTTGCTGCAGGTGCTGATAACAGCACGTGTTTGGTGCAGTAATGAAAGTGAGAAGACAGCAAAGCAGGGGACAGCAAAGAGAAATGAAGGAGACGCCCCAGTGAAGACCAAAAAAAAGGAAACAGGGAGAAAGCGAGGAGAAGGGAGAGAGAGTCCGGGCTGTCCTGGTGCAGTGGAGGTGGCGCTTTTCAGATCCACCCACAGACCACACAAAATACAAGGAGAGCTTCCCGAAGCCGTGGCAGCCAAGCAAGGAGGCTTCTCCTGCGGCTCCTGATGCCTGCATGTGGGGCCGCAGGGCACGGTCCCGCTATGACTCCGTCCTCAGGGCATGGCCAGCGTGTGGGAATGGCTGAGCCCAAGAGAAAACAGGATCCTTTTCACAGCAGGTTACTTTATAAAAAAAAAAAAAGAAAGAAAGAAAGAAAAGGAAAATGAAAGAAAAGAAAAAAGATGAGAAAAGAAAAGAAAAAAGAAAAAAGAAAAACGGCATCCTGGCCGGCATGATGGCTGACACCTGTGACCCCAGCACTCTGGGAGGCCAAGGCGGGTGGATCATTTGAGCCAAGAGTTCGAGACCAGCCCGTGCAAGAGGACGAAAACCAAAACCCCATCTCTCCAAAAGAAAATACAACAGTCAGCGGAGTGGGGCACACACCTCTAGACCCAGCACTCAGGAGGCTGAGGTGGGAGGATCGCCTGAGCCTGGGAGGTCAAGGCTGCAATCAGCCACGGTCAAAACACTGCACTCCAGTCTCGGCAACAAAAAATAAAAATAGAACATAAAAAAATAAGACAATTGGCCTCTTTCCGACATGAAGAAAGAAGAAACAGAGGGTGGGGTGGGCTGGCCACACCACTGGAAACTGAAAGCAGATTCCCAGAAGGGAGCAGTGGGGAAGGGGCCCCCGATTCCCAGAAGGGAGCAGTGGGGAAGGGGCCCCCGATTCCCAGAAGGGAGCAGTGGGGAAGGGACCCCCGATTCCCAGAAGGGAGCAGTGGGGAAGGGGCCCCCGATTCCCAGAATGGAGCAGTGAGGAAGGGGCCCCGATTCCCAGAATGGAGCAGTGTGGAAGGGACCCCCTGGTGTGTTATAAACTCTTCCTGAGTCTCTGGCCAACCCTGAACTGTGCGTGCATGGGGAAGGCTCAGAGAACTAAACTGAACCCACTGGGGTGACACAGAGCTTCGGGTTTCAGTGTAACCAAGTTACGTGCACACTAGAACAACGCTGTGAGTCTGTAACAGAAGCCAGTCTCCACAACAGAATCTTCACAACGTCCAGAATTGACACATAAAGAATCAGAAAATCGTGACCTCTTCTTCTCAGAGCAAGACAATCAGCACAGGGCAACCCGAGGTGACCCGGGTGTTGGGATTACTAGACAAGGACTTCAAAGCAGCCATTAAAACTGCACTCGGTGACGTGAAGGAAACACGCTTGCAATTTATGAAAGGAGAGAAAAACTCCGGAGAGATGTAGAAAACATTTTAAAATCCACTGGAAATCTTACAGTGGAAAAATACAATATTTGAACTAAAAAATTCACTGGGCAAATGGATTAGTCTGTTTTCACACTGCTATAAAGACACTACCTGAGCCTGGGTAATTTATGAAGGAAACAGGTTTAATTGAATCACAGTTCTGCATGGCTGGGTAGGCCTTAGGAAACTTACAATCGTGGCAGAAGGAAAAGGAGAGGTGAGACCCGTCTTACACGGCGCAGGCGCGAGAGAGGAAGGAAGGGCCGCCCCTAAAACCATCAGCTCTCATGAGAACTCCCTGTCAGGAGAACTGCATCTGCCCCCGTGATCTAGTCCTTCCCTCGACACTAGGGATTAAAATTGGAGAGGAGATTTGAGTGGGGACACAGAGCCAGGACATATTAGTGAGTTTAACACGTAAGGAGATGACAGAGTAAGGAGCTGGCGACCCCGAGAACAGGATCAAGAGGAACCACCTGATCTGATGACTAGAGAGGAAAAAAGTTAAAAAAGACAGATTCTTAGAGCTCTGTGGGACAGCTCTGGTATATATAATTGAAGTATTAGAAAGAGCGAAGAGAGACAATAAAGCCGGAAAAAAATTTTAAGAACCGGGCCAGGTGGCCGGGTGCAGTGGCTCAAGCCTGTAATCCCAGCACTGTGGGAGGCCGAGGTGGGTGGATCACGAGGTTAAGAGATCGAGACCATCCTGGCCAACATGGTGAAACCCCATCTCTACTAAAAATACAAAAATCAGCTGGGCGTGGTGGCTCGTGCCTGTAGTCCCAGCTACTTGGGAGGCTGAGGCAGGAGAACTGCTTCAACCTGGGAGGTGGAGGTTGTAGTGAGTCCAGCCTGGCAACAGAGCGAGATTCTGTCTCAAAAAAAAAAGAAAGAACTAGGCTAGGTACAGTTGCTCACGCCTGCAATCCCAGAGCTTTGGGAGGCCACGGTGGGAGGACGGCTGAAGGCCAGGACTTCAAGGCCAACCTGGGCAACACAGCAAGACCTTGTCCCTTAAAAAAAACACGTACCTAGGTGTGGGGCTGCACACGCTCCGTCCCCGTTACTCAGAAGGCTGAGGTGGGAGAATCACTTGAGCCCAGGAGTTTGAGATTAGAGTAAGATCTGATGGCACAACCACACTCTGGCCAGGGTGACAGAGCCAGATCCTGTCTCAGGAAAGGAAAAAAAACAGAGAGAGAAAGGCTAAAAAGGTCCTAAATGTGGTGACAGGCATACGTTCACAGATTTAAGAGCTCAAGCAGGCCTACACAGGAAAGAACGATGAAGAAAACCTAGCCCACTCCATGACGGCCGGCTTGCTGAAAAGGGAGTACCTTGGAAACAGCCGGAGGAAAATTAACACACTTCGTATAGGCGGACGACGGTTTGAATTCTGGTGAACTCGTCTACGGTTATGGGGGCCAGGGGGCAACAGAGCAGCATTTTAAAGTGGGGGGGAAACCAAAACTACCCTCAAGCCAGAATTCCAGGTGCAGCAAAAATACCCTTCCAGAATGAGGGCAAAATAAAGAGGTTTTCAGAGAAAAGAAAGGCAGGAGGAAAGAGAACAGCTGAGAAGAAAGGTCGACCTTAAGTTTTCTGTGGCATACTCTGCAGGGCTTCCGCGAGAACTCAGGGGAGGAAGGGGGTTTCCAGGTTCCGCATGGATGGAATTAGAACTTAGGTAAATTATTTCATGTGTTTCATCTCATCTAGGTGCCTCCATATTTAATGTCATCCACCACTCAGGGTCCCACGGTCCAACACCATTACCTGAATTATTGCATCCTTGTCAGGCCTAAATGCAGATTCTTTATCTACCAACAGCAAGATACTATGAATTACAGGAGATGTGTTCTGAAATAGATAAGAAATAAATATTACTGATTAGCTTTCTAATTTTTAACTTCATTAATAGAATTGCCCAATTTTGACTGGTGCTACCTCTGTCATAAATAGTTTCTTGGAGTACCTGCGGTGCATAAAACGTAGCGGACTTTGCCCTGAAGTGTAAACGATTTGCCCTTATGAATTTTTAATGTAATCAGGTTTATCGAGGTATAATTTACATACACTGACACTCACCCTTTTTAGTGACTAGTTCTGTAAGTTTTGATGAAAGCGTTGTCATGTAACCATCACCACCGTCAAGACAAAGAACCGTTAAGCAACCCCAAAATTCTCTTGTGCCTCTTTGCAGTCAAGAGCTCCCCTATCCCCGCCCCTGGCAACCAGGGGTCTGTTTTTGTCTCCACAGACTTGCCTTTTCTAGACACGACATAAACAGACTCAGACAGGACTGGCCTCTTTCACTTGGCATCGTGCATAGGAACTCATCCCTGTTGTGAGTATCAAGGGTTTGTTCCTCTGCTCTGCGGAGTAGCTTTCCACGGGATTCCCGCACCACGAGGTGTTCATCCACTTCACCAGCTGAAGGATGCTTGGCAATCGTGGGTAAAGTCACTACAGATGTGTGAACGGGGGCACAGGTTTTCATGTCTCTTGGATCATATCTAGGAGTGGGATTTCTGGCTCGTGTGATAAGCACGTGTTCTCCAGAGCGGCTGTGCCATTTCAAAGTCCCGTCCCCAATACCAAGCACTTGTTACTGACAAGCTTCGATGCTGTTTTTTGTGCGTTTCGCTTGGTTTTCAGCTGCGTTTCCCCAGTGATTAATGGTGTCGGGCGTATTTTCAGGTGCTTGTTTGCCATCTGCGTTATCAGCCTCAGTGGAGCACTTTAAGTACTCGCTCTACCCTGGAAAATGCCCCATAAGCGTTTGAGAAGCACGTATGCGCTGCTGCTGTTGGGTGCCGGGTTTCAAGTGTGTCTGTTAGATCTGGTTGGTTTACTGCGTTCTTCACGTCCTCCATCTAAAAAACGCATCTTCCATTATGGACAGTGAGGTACCGAAGTCACGCAGAACTGCCTGCCTCTCCCCAACTCCGTTAGCGTCTGCTGCATACGTTTTGATGGCCATTAGGTTTGTCAGTGTTTACTACGGTTGTACCTTCTTGCTGTACTGAACCTTTCGTTCACATACGATGTTCTCCATGGGGTCTTGTAACACGGTTGGTCTCAAAACACAGTAACAAGAAAACAACCAATAAACTCCGGGGGAGGGTCTGAGTGCTGCAGCGTTTTATGACGACGTCTATTTCGTCGGCATCAGCACAGACACCCCCCATCTCTCTCGTCAGGTCTCCAGCATCGCTCAGCACCTCCCTGGTCAGTGCCTCCCTTGGCCCCCAGCCTCCCTCAGGCTTTCCTGACAGCGTCTGCGCACTGGGGTCCCGTCCAGCCTAGCCTGTGCACCCCAGTTCGTGGCTTGCACCCTCTCCTCCCGGTGACCCCTTCCTGACCTCAGGGAGTCGCCCCAGCCCCTCGTCCGGCCCAGGGTTCGTGTCACTTGCTCCCAGGCCAGCCGATTTCTGCTAGCCCACCCACCCTGCCAGGCAGCTCCGGAAGATGCCACCCACCCCAGGGCCCAACCTGAGTGGACCCCACACTGTAATGGGTCATGACCGAGCCTGTCCCCTCCAAGTCTCAGCAGGACACAGCTTTTCTAAGAGCCACATCCTGTGAAAGTGAGAAGGGCAGGCTGACTGTGAGGAGGGGTGGGAGGTGAGGCCGGCTCGATGGGAGGAGGGAAGTGAGGGAGGGAAGAGGTGGCAGCAGGATGGAGAGGAGGGAGGACCGCAGGGCAGGGGGAGAGGAGGGAGGACTGCAGGGGGGGGGGGGGGGGAGGGAGGACCGCAGGGTGGGGGAGAGGAGGGAGGATCGTGGGGGGAACAGGAGGGAGGACTGCAGGGTGGGGGGAGAGGAGGGAGGACCGTGGGGGGACAAGGAGGGAGGACCGCAGGGTGGGGGAGAGGAGGCAGGACCGTGGGGGGAAGAGGAGGGAGGACTGAAGGGTGGGGGAGAGGAGGGAGGACTGTGGGGGAGAGAGGAGAGAGGACTGCAGGGTGGGGGGAGAGGAGGGAGGACTACAGGGTGGGGGGAGAGGAGGGAGGATCATGGGGGGAAGAGGAGGGAGGACTGAAGGGTGGGGGAGAGGAGGGAGGACTGCAGGGGAAAGATGAGGGAGAACTATGGTGGTGAAGAGCAGGGAGGGCCACAGTGGGGACAGGAGGGAGGACCATGGGGGGAGGAGAGAGGCTGGCAGGGGTGAAGAGGAGGGAGGACCATGGGAAGGAAGAGGAGGGAGGGCTGCAGAATAGGGAAGGGAAGGGAGGACCCCACGGCAGGGTGAGCTCTGCCAGCGCCGTCCCTGACCTCTTTTCTGGCACAACTTGGCACCTGGTATTCCTAAACTAGAGTTTCCTCAGTGAGTACAGGAGCCTCTGCCTGCATCTTCAGCAGGGACAGCAAGGGCGAAACAGGTTTAGCTTTGTGGAGGGCAGGTGGGGCATGGGAGAGGGCACCCCAGGCTCCCCATCCCCCTGTCTCTCCCGTCCCCCGTCTCTCCCCGTCCCCATCTCTCCCCGTCTCTCTGTCTCCATCTCTCCCCATCCCCGGTCTCTCCCTGTCCCTTGTCTCTTGCTGTCCCCGTCTCTCCCGTCCCCGATTCTCCCCGTCCCCCATCTCTCCCCGTCTCTCTCTGTCTCCATCTCTCCCCGTCCCCGGTCTCTCCCTGTCCCGTTTCTCCCTGTCCCTGGACTCTCGCTGTCCCTGGGTTCCCCTCTGCCCCTGCCCAGGCAGCAGCACCCTCCCATCCCTAGAGTGCCCCATCTCCCCTGGATGTTGCTTGGGGTTCAGTATGCAGGGCCTCTGAGCCAGGTGTAGTAGCTCACGCCTGTGATCCCAGCACTCTGGGAGGCTGAGGCAGATGGATGATTCCAGTCCAGGAGTTTGAGACCAGCCTGGACAACATGGCAAAACCCCATCTCTAGTAAATATGCAAGAAATTAGCCGGGTATGGTGGCACGTGGCTGCAGTCCTAGCTACTCGGGAGGCTGAGGCAGGAGGATCTCCTGAGCCTTGGAGCTCGAGGCTGCAGGGTCCTGCGGTGATGGCACTGACCCTGTCCGGGGCTGCCAGGTTCATCCCTGCCCTGGTTCATCCTTGCAGTGGGCCATGACTGCCCCTTCCTGCCTCCATCCTTTGTCTGAAGGACAATGCCGTGCCCTCATCCCGATGGAGGGGCACAGACAGTGTTGTGCTGCCCTGCTGGGACAGATGCCCACCACCTGGGCCTGGCAGACTTTGCCTTTTAGGTTTGCAGTTGCCCCGAGCATGGAGCTTCTTCAAGGTCCCACTGGACAGGCCACGCCCACCTTCCTCAGTGTCTGTGCCCAGCCCCGGAGAGCAAGAGCCGGGCTCACTGGGAAGACCCTGGGCAGGAAGGGGCTCCGCACAGGGTCCGCCGTCTCAAATCCTCACGCCGAACCTGTGAACCGGCTACTCCAGAACCACGACGGGTGGCCCCAGCAGCACAATGCTCTGAGATGCCCACACACCCGAGGGACGTGACAACCCTGGCGTACCTGCAGTCCCGCGAGGGCCTGGGAGACGGCGGGGGAGGCCGGACTCCTGCGGGTGTCCACCAAGACAAGCAGCCCCAGGTCCCGGACCTCCTTCCTGGGGAGGGAAACAGCCGGTCTTAACCACTGCACACAAAATCTCTTACAAACACAAGACCCTCCACCTCTGAGACTGGTGGTTACTGGTTTCCTTTCAGCTCTAGAAGTTAGTGGTTCTCTATACACGTCCACCTTCTACCTCCCACAGGGGCAGGCCCGTCGGCTGGAGGCACTGCTGTTGCTCCGCTCGTGGACCCTGCGATGATGCCCGACGGCGTCTCCGGGTGCGCAGGGCTGTGGCTACCCTCCCCGAGATGGACGAAACGGGCCCCGTGCCATCAAGGGGGCAAGGACTTCAGGGCCTGCTTGCACTCATTTGTCTGGGCATTCACATGGCTCAGAAGGTGACTGGGGGTGTGGACGCCCGTTCTCCGGACAGAGGCTTGCGCTGTCATCAGGGCTCTGACTCACCCAGAGCCAAGCCGAGACAGAGCATCCTTCAAAACGACAAATACCATCATGTGGTTTTAAAGACTCCAGTGTAAAAGCTTTGTCTCTGTGATTGTGACTGGAAACTCTCCTTCAAAATTTCAATAGGAAAAAACAATAGGTTGGGTGAGTTGATATGTTCCTTTTTTGAAAATTTTAGTGTTTAGCTGGCTGAAGGCAGTGAGTTACCTCCTTCGATTGTTCACAGTTACCCTTGTTCTGCCTTTCCCCTACTCACGACTGCACTCGACTAGCGTTAAAAAATATACAGCCGGGCGCTGAGGCTACCTGGGAGGCTGAGGGGGAGGGGGTCGCTTTAGCCCAGGAAGCTCAGGCTGCAGTAAGCTGGGATGGCACCACTGCGCTGCCTCGCCGACAGAGCAAGACCCATCTCAAAAAAAATGTGCGTGTTCTTTGACAAACTCCTTCAGCTCTAACTCCAGGATTCATGAACATTCTAAGTTGTGTGTCTGGACACTGATCTTACAGAGTTCACGTGAGCCAGGGACACAGGAGAGCCCTGACTCAGAGCACGTCACTCGGCGGCCGAGTCCTGGCCAACAGCGTGAGTGTGCCCCGTCGGCCCCACAGCCGGGCGCGTTCAGTTCTGGGCGTCACTGGGATGGACGTGTGCTGAAGATGAGAAACGGTGTGTGGAAATCAAGGCTGGAGGCGCGTGGGTGCCGGCTGCTCCAGAAGGGTGAGGTTAGGAGAGGCAGGGTCTGGCCGTGGAAGCTGGCACCGTCCCCCCGTTCCCCCCACTTTGCCACACACATGCAGCTGGGGTTCCCCGGGTCCCGGCCCACCTGGGGATGCTATGGAGGTACAGCAGCAGGCGGGTCAGCTCAGTGCAGGACGCGTGCTCCCCGGTCCAGAGCGGGCCCCCGGTGCTGACCTGCACCACCGCTCTGCCCTGATGGTCTCGGGTCCCTGTGGAGACAGAGGCGAGACAGCTGCCCAGGGGCTTCACTCTGGGAGGTGGCGAGCTGGGTCTGTGCTGGCGTGAGTGTGAGATCCGCCCGGACAGAGTGCCGGGTGCGTGCTCACCTGGGAGGATGATGACCCCGGACTGCAGCAGCTCCTGGCTGACGTCCAGCACCTGCCTGGGGAGGTCCCCCGCGCCGGGCGGCCACCCTTCTTGCTCAGGGTGCGGCTGCTGGGCAAGCACATCGGAAAGCCTGCAGGGCTTCTGGCAACGGAGGCTGCCGCCGTTGGCACTCACACAGGCTGAGAGCGCAAGAACGTCTGGACGAAGGAAAGAGACCCCATCAAAGATGAAGGTTTTCCTGCGCTTTGAAAGCAGGTGCTCACCTTGCTACGAACCACGGGATGAAAACGTGCATGAAAATAGGGGATTCAGTGCTGGTGGGAGGTGGTGTGTCACAGTGCCCAGGGCACATGGTGCCATCACGGAGACGGTCTCCCGTGGGAAGTGAAGGCGTGTCCCAGTGCCCAGGGCACGTGGCACCATCACGGAGACGGTCTCCGGCTCAGACACGCTCACGACCTGCAGACACCTCAGCAAGGGCAGATGGTCTCATCCCAGCTCATTTGCTCAAAGTGTGGCGTGCATGACTGCATGTGGTGTGCGATTGTGTGTGCGTGTGCCTGGTATGTGGAACTCTGGAGTGTGTGACCATGTGACTGTGTGGTGATTGTGTGTAACTCTGGAGTGTGTGACTGTGTGAGGCACGGGATGGTGTGGTGTGTGATTGCATATGTGTGGAACTGGAGTGTGTAATTGTGTGATGCATGTGACTGTGTAAGATGTGTGGTTGTGCATGTGTAACTCGAGTGTGTGACCATGTGAGGCAGGTGGCTGTGTGTGGTGTGTGATTGCGTGTGTGTGTAACTCTGGAGTATGTGATTGTGTGAGACGTGACTGGTGTGCAGTTGTATGTGCGTCTGTATAACTACAGTGTGTGACAGACGTGACTGTGCTTGTGCAACTGGTGACTGTGTGAGGCATGTGACTGCGTGTGTGTGTGCGTGTTAATGAGTGTGTGAGGCATGTAACTGGTGTGTGATTGTAACTCGAGTGTGACTGTGAGGCAGGCGACTGGTGTGTGATTATGTGTAAATGTGGAGTGTGATTGTGTGAGGCATGTGCCTTTGTGTGGTGTGTGACTGCGTGTATGAAACCGGAGCGTGTGATCATGTGAGGCATGTGACTGTATGTGGTGTGTGATTGTGGGTATGTAACTGCAGCATGTGATCGTGTGAGGCAGGAGACTGCTGTGTGATTGCGTGTGTGTAACGAGTGTGTGTGATCGTGTGAGGCAGGTGACTGTGTGTGGCTGTGTATTCTGTGTTACCCCAGCGAGTACTTTTGCTACAAAGCTCTTTCTGCAGCAAGTTCCATGCGTGCTGCAGTCTTGGGGCCTGCCCGGAGCTCCAGGCACCGCAGCCTGACTTTGAAGGTGCAAGGCCCCTGTGGAGGAGTCTGGAACGGGCCGGACCACAGTTCTGTCTCCAAGGGCCCTTGGTGCCATTGCCTCGAAGCTCCTGGTCAGGCCTGGCGGGGAGGATGGGCGGGAGGGGGGGCAGGTGTGGCCCACAGAGAGGAGGGCTCAGCCCCTCACCTCACGGGGCTTAGGGGGCCTGCTCTCTGCAGCCTGCACCAGCATTTCACATTTTCCCCTTCTTTCCAAAGTCACTGGCTGTGTTACTCACAGGATATATCTTTACCCAAATATATATATTTGAAATATTTAAAATATTTAAAAATACGCTGTCATTCTTTTTTTACTTTATGCCCTGCGAACAGTCTTTTAAATAGTCACATTTTTGCCAGGCGCGGTGGCTCACGCCTGTAATCCCAGCACTTTGGGAGGATGAGGTGGGTGGATGACGAGGTCAGGAGATCGAGACCATCCTGGCCAACATGGAGAAACCCCATCTCTACTAAAAGATTAGCTGGGCGTGGTGGTCCATGCCTATAATCCCAGCTACTCAGGAGGCTGAGGCAGGAGAATCTCTTGAGCCAGGGAGCTGGAGGTTGCAGTGAGCCGAGATTGCATCAGTGAACTCCAGCCTGGCAACAGAGTGAGACTCCTTCTCAAAAATAACGATAATAATAATCATAAATAAAAAGAGTCACATTTTCTCTCCTAACCCTCAGAAACTGTGAACATGGCCTCCAGCTGGAAACTGAGTCTAAGGATCTGGATGTGAGGTTGTCCTGGGTTTAGAGGTCCCTGAATCCAGTGATGGGTGCCCTTCCAAGAGAAAGGAGGGGATTCAAGTCACAGAGGTGCTGGGGAGGAGGCCACCGAGGACGGTCAGAGTGCTGCAGCCACAGCCCAGCTCGGGGTGTGCAGGGGTGGGAGGGGGGCAGTGGGGGGAGGTTATGGGGGTGTGCAGGGGTGGGAGGGGGGCAGTGGGGGGAGGTTATGGGATGTGCAGGGATGGGAGGGGGCAGTGGGTGGAGGTTATGGGGGTGAGCAGGGGTGGGAGGGGGACAGCGGGGGGAG